GTATATCCTACAAAAATAATGATATCAAAAAAGTTGCGCTAAGTGAAAATAAAAGCTTATAAAAATACTTTAACCAAAAAAAGTTATACAAAATAGCTGATTTAATTTTCTACATTATATTCTAGAAAAATAATGATATCCAAAAATTACGCTAATTGAAAATAAAAACTTAAAATAATTTAACTAAAAAAAATTGTACCAAATAATTGTTTTAATTTCATACAAATAATATTAAAAAGTTGCGCCAACTGAATAAAAATTTTTACTATAAAATAGACATATTTCTTTTTTATTTTCAATATTAAAAGAAAAATGATATTAAATGAATTGTAATATATCTATTATAAAAAATCGAATTGAAAATATGAACAATCATATACATTGCAATAATCATATGCATATATCCTGAAAAGTTTAATTAAAAAAAAAAATAGAAAATGATATTACAAAATACAAAATTAAAAATTATTAAAAAAATTAAAAATTAGAAATTAATAAATAAAAAATAAAAATTTATATAAAAATTAAAAATTAATACATATAAAAAATTTTAGTTAAAAAACTTAGCGCTGCTACGCTGAACAATGTGCTAATGAAATTAGCACCTTTTTTTTAAAAGTATATTATACGTCAAAATTATTGATTTAATTAAGTTTTTATCATTACATATTTACTATTATAGATTTCATTATTATTGCATTATTATTTATTATAAAGTAAAATTTTGTTTCACGTATGAAGAATCAAAGAAAATTTTAGAAATTCAGATTTAATTAAAATAAAACATGCTGCAATTCCGTCATTGTATTAGATTTCTATCTTAAACAAAATGAAATTTAAAGTGAAATTTAGCCATTACTAGGTTTAAAGAGAAAAAAAAGAAGTTAAAAATTCGGAAACTAAAACAGAGAGATATATATACAGGGTGGGGCATTTATCTTGAGACAAGATAATATCTCGATTGGAGTCGATTATTTTGAAAAAAGTTTTGGACAAAAGTTGTAGGGCATTAAAGAGGCTATCGAAAGGTCCATATTACAACTTCCGGTCTAGACCGGAAGTGGCGTTTTTTGATCAGAATTCGTTTTTTTAAATGGAAACACCCATTTTTTGCCGCGGATTTCGATTGGAAATCGAAAAAAAAATACTTTTTGTTCTTATTATTTTTTCGATTTAACCCATATTTTGGCCATAAAAAACAAAAAAACACAAAAATCTTGAGATAACGGAGACTTTGTTGGGGTTGTGTCCAGGAGGCCAAAACACTTTGGATAGCATATATCACATGTAAAGTACAGACTACTTTTTCATGGGGTGGTGATTTTTAATCTAAACTTAATAAACTAGAAAAAGATTTAACGGATTACTTTGAAAAGGCATAATTGACATTTTTTTGTATTTTCGTTTTCTTTTTTCGTGAGTTTTTAAATTTAATATAGGGGATATTTACCCCATTTCATTTATCCTAATTTTTTTTCTGAAATCAGATTATCTTTTCAAATTTTGTCAGTGCAAAACTTTTTTTAAAATGGATGCTGTTTCTGTAGAAGATAGAAATGATTCTTATTTATGGTGAATGTGGTAGAAATGTTGACGATGCCGTTACACTTTATGCTGAACGTTTTCCGGATAACGTGCGATCTCGAGCATCTTTTTATCGGGTTGTTACACAATTTCTACAAGAGGGAAGTGTGTCTAAGAGAAAAAGAGCCCGTCGAAACCTAGTTACTGGAACTGACAATGAAATTGCTGTATTAGCTGCAGTAAATGTTGACCCTCATGTCAGTACTCGACAAATTGCACGCGATTCTGGAATTTCGCGACGTAGTGTAGGCAGGATATTAAAACGTTATAAATATCATCCCTATCACATTTCGTTGCACCAAGAACTTCATGATAATGATTTTCAGAACCGAATTATCTTTTGTCAATGGGCATGTCAACAAATACAACAAGATCCTAATTTCTTTGCTAAAGTCCTATTTTCAGACGAGTCCTCTTTTACGAACCACGGCACGGTTAATAGACATAACATGCACTACTGGAGTATTCAAAATCCACATTGGTTACGTGAAGTTGAGCATCAGCGTCAATGGTCTGTGAACGTTTGGTGTGGAATAGTTGGTGACAAGATAGTAGGTCCATACTTCATTGAAGGCAATTTAAACGGCGAAACATATCGTAATTTTTTACAAAATCAACTTCCGCTTTTACTTGAGGACGTACCCTTAAATGTAAGACAACAAATGTGGTTTCAACACGATGGATGTCCATCGCATTACTCCCGAACTGCTCGTGAAGTTTTGGATCGCGAATTCAATGGACGCTGGATCGGTAGAGGGGGTCCAGTAAATTGGCCAGCAAGATCTCCAGACCTTATGTCTCCAGACTTTTATTTATGGGGTTACATAAAGAGCGAAGTTTACAAAGAAGTGCCAACATCTCGTGAAAATATGATGCAACGAATCCGAAATGCTTGTGCCAAAATATCACCTGATGTACTCCGCAGTTGTGTACGATCTATGGAAGTTCGGATCAATAAGTGCATTGAAGTCGAAGGTCGCCAATTTGAGCACTTATTAAATTAAATTAATTTCAAACAGATAAGACAATCATACCAAATTGTGAGAGGCAAGGGGACTCACCTAAAACAAGCACCCCAAAGGGGATAAAAAACTACTACGTCCACGTCGTTATTCCTGGGTAGTGCTGAAAGTAGTTAATAGTTGTACAGTTTTTCAACCTTAAAGTTAAAAAAGGGATTCCAATAAGGTACTCCGTTATCTCAAGATTTTTGTGTTTTTTTGTTTTTTATGGGTATTAAAATATGGGTATTAAATCGAAAAAATAATAAGAACAAAAAGTATTTTTTTTTCGATTTCCAATCGAAATCCGTGGCAAAAAATGAGTGTTTCCATTTAAAAAAACGAATTCTGATCAAAAAACGCCACTTCCGGTGTATACCGGATGTTGTAATATGGACCTTTCGATAGTCTCTTTAATGCCCTACAACTTTTGTCTAAAACTTTTTTCAAAATAATCGACTCCAATCGAGATATTATCTTGTCTCAAGATAAATGCCCCACCCTGTATACATATATATATATATCTATATAAATAAAAATGAATCGCCGAAATGTATGTACGCGCATAACTTCAGAACGACTGCACCAAATTAGATAATTTTTTTTTGTTTTGTTTGTCATTATCAGGACAAGGTTTGTATGAAAGAAAATTTTAAAAAAATTGAACAGAACGACGTAAAAAAACAATTTTCTTTTTTCCGTAATTTTAAATCGCAATGTAACTAGAAGATCGCGTCATTAATATGATTAACAAAAGAAGATATGATTAACAAAATAAATGTCAGAATTGATAGCTTGACATTCATTCATATTCAATTATCGTTACTTTTGTATTACAAAAGCAAAACTTTGTTTCTGTGCTTCGTGCTATTCTTTCCTCTGAGGTTTCGTGTGTTTTTGTTTTCGTCGACGAGGTTTATCGTGATAAGAAAATGCTACCAGTGAGACGTCAAAATATCGGTCGGCATACGCGTAACGCAAGGAGAGTTTATAATCTTCTAACAAAACTTTGTTTCTGTGCTTCGTGCTATTCTTTCCTCTGAGGTTTCGTGTGTTTTCGTTTTCGTCGACGAGGTTTATCGTGATAAGAAAATGCCACCAGTGAGACATCAAAATATCGGTCGGCGTACGCGTAACGCAAGGAGAGTTTATAATCTTCGAAACAATGACACTGATGAAGAGCGTAGGCAGCGTTTGGAGGCGAACAGAATGCGAATTTCTCAAGCGAGATCTACTACGGCTCCGGAAGAATCCATAGCGTCGACTTCAGGTGAGAGGCGACAAAACGTATCAATTACCTATGAACGTTTGGCGTTTAGATATGATCCAACAGTCGATTACGCTGGAGATAAATCGGTCGATTTTGGAACAATGAACAAAATTTGTCAATATTGCAGCGCTTTGAGGTTTCGACTGGAACCAACAGGATTATGTTGTGCGAACGGAAAGATCAAATTACCACAACTTACAACGCCACCTGAACCACTGAATTCATTACTTTCAGGACAAGAACCTCTATCGAAGCATTTCTTGCAGAATATTCAAAATTACAACTGTGTATTCCAAATGACATCATTTGGTGCAAATATAATTGAGGAAAGGGGTTTCAATCCAACTTTTAAGATTCAAGGACAAATTCACCATCGTGCAGCAGCATTGTTGCCATCAGTTGATGGGGAATACAAATTTCTTCAAATTTATTTCCTCGGAAATTCTGAAGCTGAAATAAATCAACGCTGTGCCATCAATCATGCAGCTAGGAGAAAGATCATCGTGCAACTGCAACAACTGTTGCATGCTCACAATCAATTGGTCCAATTGTTTAAAACAGCCCTTGAAATGATGCCGTCGGACGATCATAAAATAGTGATCAGAGCAGACAAAAAACCAACAGGAGAACATGAGAGACGCTTCAATGCACCTATGTTAAACGAAGTTGCCATTGTGGTTGTTGGGGAGAATATGGAGTCTCGTGACATTGTAATTCAACGACGTAATGGTAGCAAACTTCAGCGTATCAGTGAAACACATCGTTCATATGATGCATTACAATACCCTCTAATATTTTGCAGAGGAGAAGATGGATACCATTTTCAAAACAAGATGATTAATCTAGCGACTGGTCAAGAAACAAACAAAAAGGTCAGCTCGATGAATTTTTATGCATACCGTCTCATGATTCGTCTAAGCGAGGACAACCACATTTTGAGATGCCGTCGATTGTTTCATCAGTTTGCCGTTGATATGTATGTAAAAATTGAAACGGAACGTCTGACATATATACGTTTACACCAGAAAGAATTACGTTCTGAACAATACATTCATTTGCGCGATGCCATGAACGCAGATAAAAATGGAAATAATGTCGGCTAACTTATTATTTTACCAGCAACGTATATGGGAAGCCCGAGACACATGCACGAATACGCGCAAGATGCTATGACCTACGTGCGCCAATACGGTAGACCAGATTTATTTATTATTTTTACATGCAACCCAAAATGGATCGAAATCACTAATCTATTACCCGGTCAATCATCCAGCGATCGTCACGACATAACCGCTCGAGTGTTCAAGCAAAAACTCAAAGCGCTCATGGACTTCATTGTAAAATATCATATCTTCGGAGACGTACGATGTTGGATGTATTCTGTAGAGTGGCAGAAAAGAGGACTGCCTCGACATGCGAATATTCTCCTGTGGATGGTCGAAAAAATAAGACCGGATGAAATTGACTCGATCATTTGCGCAGAAATTCCTGATCCCGAAGTAGATCCAGAATTGTATGATGTAGTTAAGAAGAACATGATTCATGGACCGTGTGGCGAACACAATCGTGAATCACCGTGCATGATCGACAACAAATGCTCGAAGCGTTATCCCCGTGCTTTGTTGGCTGATACAATTACAGGGAATGATGGCTACCCCCTGTATCGTCGTCGTTCTATAGAAGACAACGGCAGAACAATAACATTGCAAGTCAAAAATAAGGATGTCGTAGTCAACAACTGTTGGATTGTTCCGTATTCGCCGCTGCTTTCCAAAACATTTAAAGCGCATTGTAATGTTGAGTACTGCAATTCGGTCAAGTCCATCAAATATGTTTGCAAGTACGTCACGAAAGGAAACGACATGGCTGTATTTGGTATTGCAGGTCCAAATAATAACGATGAAATTTCAACATATCAGATGGGAAGATATGTTAGTAGCAATGAGGCGGTTTGGAGAATCTTTTCATTTCCCATACACGAACGTCATCCCACTGTAGTTCATTTAGCTGTTCACCTGGAGAATGGACAACGAGTTTATTTCACGGCAGAAAACGCAGCGCAAAGAGCAGAACGACCACCAGCGACAACGCTGACAAGCTTCTTCGAGACATGCGCAAGCGATCCATTTGCAAGAACATTGCTTTACTTGGAAATGCCAAAATATTTTACATGGAATGCATCATCTAAAAAATTCCAACGTCGGAAACAAGGACAGCCTGTACCGGGATACGTGAATATATATTCAACCGATGCATTGGGGCGCATTTACACAGTTCATCCGCGCAATGACGAATGTTTTTACTTACGTTTGTTATTAGTTAATGTTCGTGGACCAAATTCATTTCAATTTCTACGAACTGTCGATGGTGAATTGTGCGCAACATATAGAGAAGCCTGTCAACGTTTACATTTACTAGAGGATGATGTTCATTGGGATCACACACTTGCTGATGCTGTTATTTCGTCTACTTCGCAACAAATTCGATCATTATTTGCCATCATAATTTCAACGTGCTTTCCATCGAGCCCATATAATTTGTGGAACAAATACAAAGACAATATGGCTGAAGATATTTTGCATCGAGTACGTTCAATAACGGCAAATCCAGAACTTGAAATTTGCTCAGAGATATACAATGAGGTTTTGATATGTTTGGAGGATTTGTGCGTGATGATGTCCGGCAAGATGTTGAACGAATTAGATATGCCTGCGCCTAATCGTCCCATGCACGATGCATTCAATCGTGAATTCGAACGAGAACGGCAATACGATACAAATGCTTTGAGTCAATCCGTACAAAATAAGGTGCCACTTTTAAATCAGCAGCAAAAAACAGCTTACGATACGATAATTAAAGCAGTAAATGACGGCAATGGAGGAATATTTTTCATCGATGCACCCGGCGGAACTGGTAAAACATTTTTAATTTCATTAATTTTAGATACGATTCGAGCACAAGGTCAAATAGCGCTGGCAGTAGCATCATCTGGGATCGCTGCTACATTGTTAGAAGGCGGACGTACCGCTCATTCTGCGCTCAAACTGCCATTGAATTTGCAAACTATAGAGGAACCGACATGTAATATAACCAAAACATCAGCAATGGCGAAAGTGCTACAAAATTGTAAAATAATAATTTGGGATGAGTGTACGATGGCGCACAAACGAGCATTGGAGGCACTAGATCGAACATTAAGAGATTTGCGCAGCAATCAGATCCTTTTCGGAGGCGCGATGATTCTACTGGCTGGAGATTTTCGCCAAACGCTGCCAGTCATTCCTAGATCAACAGCTGCTGATGAAATAAATGCATGCTTAAAGGCATCAATTTTATGGAGATATGTGAAAAATCTCAAGTTAACAACGAACATGCGAGTGGCGTTGCAAAATGACATATCAGCAGAAGTTTTCTCAAAGGGATTATTAGATATTGGCAATGGGAGAATTCCTGTTGACTCTTCTACTGGCCTCATTTCGTTTCCACCAAATTTTTGTCAATTCACAACGTCAAAAGAAGAATTAATTTCGAAAGTGTTTCCAAATATTGATGCAAATTACAAAAACCATGCTTGGTTGCGCAAACGAGCCATTTTAGCGGCGAAAAATAAGGACGTAGATGACTTAAATACAAAAATTCAGAGTCAAATTAATGGACAAATACATTCATTTAAGTCGATCGATTCCATTACTGATCCAAATGAAGTCGTCAATTATCCAACTGAGTTTCTAAATTCAGTGGATTTACCAGGATTACCGCCACACAATTTACAGCTCAAGGTTGGATCCGTGATAATCATGTTACGAAATTTGAATCAGCCAAAATTGTGCAATGGAACAAGACTCGCTGTTAAAAAAATTATGAAAAATTTGATTGAAGCTACTATAATTATAGGAAAGTTCAAAGGCGAGGATGTGCTTATTCCAAGAATACCACTAATACCAACTGACTTTGCTTTTGAATTTAAGCGTGTCCAGTTTCCGCTGCGCCTTGCATTCGCAATGTCAATTAATAAATCCCAAGGACAATCTTTAGAAGTGTGTGGAATAAACCTTGAATTGTCATGTTTTTCGCACGGGCAATTGTATGTAGCGTGCTCGAGAGTCGGCAAACCATCGGCGCTATTTGTTTTCTCTCCATATGGAAAAACTAAAAATATTGTACACTATAAGGCATTTACAATAGGTATTTACGTATGATCAAATTTTTGGATTTTAATTTTCTAAACGTAAGATTATGTCTCATTTTTTTCATTAGGCACATCACCCGTGCGAAGCCGGGTCGGGCAGCTAGTATATATATATATATATATATAAAATATGTAATGAGTAAATAATAAAATATAATCGTCATAAAAATTTAATACAAGTTTGTTGCGTATCGTAATATATATTATTTTATAAGACAGCATCAACATATATAGTACATCCTCCCAAAACTTCAAATATATTTCCAATTTTACAAATACGATGTTACTCTTTTCCTACTTCCATGCAACATCTAAACCTTATTTTTCCAAGTAATCTATTCATACAAGTTATGATTACGCAGAAAAAGATTATTTATGTACTGTGACCGTGAAATTTCTTATTTTTTTCTGAACGGGGAAGTTATTAAGAGGACCGATGGTGTTGATTCACGGCACATCTTCGGCATCACCCTCCGTCGACTCGGCGGTCGCATCAAAAAAAAAGAACAAGAATTTCTGGGCGCCAGGCGCGAATATCCGCGCCGCGCGAAACGCTAATTAATCGCAAAAAAAAATCGGAAGGCCGATCGTGACGGCCCGAAATCTCGATAGCTCACGCAAACGGTGTCGGTAGAGGCATGGAGTTCGCGGTGAGCGGGGGAGAGTAGGTCGAGAACACTGAGACAAAACTAATAGTAATCATAAAAATTCGTAACATGTATTTCGTCGAGAAAAGAAAATCGAATAAAATAAAAAATGTATTTAATCATATGGTTGCCATTCCGACATAATTTCACGCGCACAACCAGTCGGAATTCGGTGAAATATGTTTTATTTACGGCGTCTTATATTACGGCGGCGAGTCCCGTGAGCGAGACAAGGACAGCGCTATCGATGCGCATGGCCGCGATCAAGAGCGAGCGAGACAGAGCATGGATCACGCGGTCGATGCGTGTCTATTGTGAAAAGCCGGGAAAGACAAATAGATTATTAGCCGACGGGTTAATTAAGGTGCGGCAATTAATCGCACCCGCGATACAGTTCTCGCCCGCCCGAGATCTACCCGATAGCAATCGATACTTCGCGAGCCCCGCGCGATGGAATGCGGCAGGGCGTACAGCGCAATACAACGACGTCACGTTAATACGACGAGTTTCGGTCGAAACATAAAGATTTTCCGACAAACTACAACAGCCGAAACGCATAGATTATGCTAATAACGACGAAATAAGTTCACAACGACGATAGATATCACGAAAACGCGGACAATTTACAATATACGACAACGCGAAATATGACACGGTGACGGAGGCGTTTCCCGGGGAAGCAGCGGTCCTGCAACAAAAGCTCGGACGAATTGCTCGGCCCCTCTATTATTCGCGTGTTTCCCAAAATCGCGAAAGAACGGAGACGTTAATGGCGTATGGGCCACGTGCGACAAATGCGAATAATCGACATTATCTGATACGTAGAATCGAGGGCCCGACACAATTCACCCGAGCGGCAGCGAAATTGTTAGCCTTATAGAAAGATCGTTCGTCTCACCAGAATGGTCCTCGAAGATCGTCAACAGAAAAAGCTCTCGGTATTCTCAACGGGATCTGCGTCCTTTTGCGTCGCTAGTCCGCCGAACAGTGAGGTGCGTGAGGTCCGCGGGAGACACATCGGCGATCGTTTCCCCCGATTTTCCTCGCCGAATCTAATTGGCGCAGGGCCGTGTCGCGCCCTTCACGGGCCGATTCTTATCACGGCCGTAATTCTGCTGTATGGGTCCCGGAAATTCTCGGCCGCAAAGAGAAATACTCTCGGCAGCAAACGCCCCTTGCCTCGCCTGACTTCCTCGGGGTTCGGGAAATCCTCCGGTGATCTCCACAGGGTGACTCCCGTTATACTCCCGGCCTCGAGTATAGGGCTGGTTCCGGTCGGGGTCTTCGCGACGCCGCTCCGAATTGAGGTCTCCCACGGGGATGTTGCCATGTGGAGTGCGCATCCTCTCTAAGTTTCTTTGAGCCTCCTCTTCCGAGCTGCGGTAATTAAAAGAAATAAATCGGGGGGGCCAGCATATGTTCGCAGCAGCGAACAAATTTGAATTAAGATGAATTAACAAAATTGATTCACCTGATGTGCTCCATTCTAGTCGGCAGAACCTCCGTCCTCACTGTATCTCCTCACATCCTGTCCGCTGTCCTCCTCCCGACGACCGGTTGAGACGAAATGATACCAAATCCGCTGAAAAGGCCAACACGAAACGCAAACGCAAAACGAGCGCGCAAAGGCGCGTACACAAAAAGGAAACGCCTGAGAGAGAAATCGCAAAAGAGGACTGCTCCTCCGTCATAGCGGAAGGACGCAGGTCCCGAATAAGGCTCTCTCGGTCGGGTACTTTGCCCCTGTAACGAACCACGCACAGTCACGTCACAACCCCCCCTTCTATGGGGAGGACCGAGGAGGTGTTGGCTGTGACAAACATCGACAGCCACCAACTTCGCCTAAGTACTCTACCTTATACTCTGGGTCAACCTTCCAGACGACAAGCCGCGTATGCGGCATCCAGGGTTGCTCCTCTCTCGGGTCGGCCTTGGCCACTGCTCATGATACAACGATGAATAACGGAACGCAATTACGAGTACACTAAATGATAGTCGGCGCACGCTCGCAAGTAACTCGCGGAGGAAAGGGGTGAGAGGGTCGGGTACACTAACTCCGAAGTAAATTACAAAGATAATTTATTTAAAAAAAAAAACCGACGCCTCTCGTTGCTCCAAGGTCCTCCGCAGCAGCAAGTGTGGAGTCCTCGACCCGACGGGTCTCCCGGCCGGGGCTCGTGGGCTGATCGGTCGCAGTCCGGGTTTCTCCTCTCTCTGCGCGGTTAAATCGGCCGACGTGGTGGCTGCTCTCCGGCCTGTACGGACCCAGATCGCGCCAATCCTCCCCGCAGCGAGGGCAGACCCTCATAGTTACTCCGGACCGCCCGCACCCATAACAGAAGGAGCGGGAGTCCTTGGGATGGGGACATCCCGAGTAGCGGTGGCCGACCGCCTGGAAATTCCAGCAGCGGTCGGCCCCGCGGGCGGTCCCGTAGCGCTCCTCTGTTTGGGAGGCCCGCTCCCTGGTCGCCTCCACCGCAACTTCGCGGGAGGACGTCGGATTCGTCTGCGTCCCCCTATCCCGCCGGTAGCGGCTCCCCAACAGTCGCCGGACTTCCTCCATGTTGGTCCTGGTCACTGCCTCCGCATCAGATCCATCGGAAAGTGCAAATCCAATTTTTTAATTTTTTGTTAATTAGCGTGTCTATGCGCGAAAAACACGCGTATAGAATTTATTTTAATTTACTATTACTTTATTTTAAGCACGAAGTGCACCAAGTGTAACCGGTGCACAGAGCGGTAGGCGGAGCTTATGCGCGCGCCACCAGCGAGAGTGGGGGCCTATATAAGGCAGAGCAGACAAGGCTCGGGACTCTTCCCGCTCGGGCGTTCACAGAGTGAAGTTCGCGTCCCTTCCCAGTTGGGAGAACAAAGAGCTAGCCGCGTATTAAGTATATTCGAATATCTTAATTATAATCTTAATATTTATCTTAATTATAATAATATCTTAATTATAATCTTAATATCTTAATTACCGCCGCGCTAATTATACAGTGTATTAATTATCGTGCGAATAGGGATAAGTCCGTCGCGTAAAACTGTGCGGATCTAAATATCTGTTGCGATGTAAATCGACTACCGAGACTTCGTCATAGTACGTAGATCGAGGTAATTAAAATAATAATAAGAATATTATTATTGAAATAATAATTAATAAATTTTTAATAAATTTATTTTTTGTTAAAATTCAAACACAAGATTTTGTATTTTCTCGCGTATGTGAGTGTTTTTCCTCTGGTTTTTCCTGACCTAATTAAAAGATCGTCCTGTGAATTTCCCGGTTTCGCGGTGCGTAGAGTGTCGGCTTCTGATAATCACGTCTCTTCGGGGAATGCGTAGCTGGTCAGCGTCGCCGAGACCTGTAACAAAGAGAAAAAGAAAGTCAGTCGATCTGCACGTTGTCGCGAGTAATCGTGAAAAGAATAGAGTGTGAAATTGAAGGAATCCAAGGATATACGACGAAGGTCTTTGTCGTGAATGACACGCGTGAGCAGTTGCGTCGCGAATGGAAAATTCCGCCGCGAGCATAGTGCGCGCGTGATAGGTAACACCGGATCGGGTTACACAGAGCTCGGCCGAGGTCGAGTGATACGCAGTTGCGTCAGCCGCGCGTCAACAAAGGATCGTGCAGTACGTAGCTGTAACAAAGGGATTCCGTGGTGACTGCGAATTTAACAGTGGTGCTCCTACGGCGGATCCACTCATCAGAGGTTCTCAACCCGGGGATCTGGCGATCATTTGTGGGTAGTAACTAGACGTTCCTTGGGGTCAACAGAGGCTCTCAACCCGGGAATCCAGCGATCATCTGTGGGTTGTTGACACAAAACCTTGTCTGTTGGAGGGAAAACAGACTGGCGATAAAGATAGGATCTAAACCTTGTAGTTCGGATCAAATCCCCGAATAACTCTCCATCGGTCCGGTCACAACCTAACCTAACCGATGGAGAGAAATCGATAAAGCCCCGAGTTTGATCGGATTACAGCGGTTCAAGACCTTACCTTTATTTTCACGGTCGCCAGCTCGTTTCTCCTTCCCACGAGCAAGGAGCGTGGAATCCGTCCTTTTGTCAAATTTCGGGATCCCCATGTTGAGCACCACTGTGCCCTGGATCCTCGGAATGAGCACCCCTTGGCACTGCGACACTCAGACAGAGTCCTTTCGCTAAGCGGTATGATTTTAACACCACTCTATAGGGTTCTATAGTACAGGTCACACTCGGATCCTCAGAATGAGCACCCCCGAGCACTGCGACACTCGCGGACAACGTCCTTTTGTTACGCGATGGAAATTTCCACCCTGTTGCGTCACTCGGATACACTACGCAACGGCTGAACAAAACCGTGTCAGTGCAACGCGACCCGGTGTCAAGTTACATGCGCGCACTGCGTCACCGCTAACGCGATCTATTACTCGCGATACACGCAATTTATTTCACGCTTTAATTGCGACAATTGAT